GGGGGGGGGGGGGGGGGGGGCTAGAAAGGGAAGATGGTAGAAATAAAACTGGTAAGTTGCCCCTTTTTATTTAATCTAGAAATTCTAACACTACTCTATTGTAAACACAAACGCTGATTTAACAGTTCGGTCTTTATCCCATCATGCTGTAACTTTTGAACACAATTTTTCCTTTTAAAAATAAACTTTTCGCCTGTTCTCTTTTATACTTACACGTTTAAAATGAAAAAGTTTAAAAAAGATAACTCCGTAAGTTTTAAGATTGTTGGGTTATAAATCAAAAAGACAAAAACCAAATGCTTCTCGCCCTGGTTAGTCCAGAGTGAACATGTATCCCTCTTTTATGATCATTATAAATATTAGCTGGGTTTCTGAGATATCTATATTTTTTTAAGAAACATAAAAATATAAAAAATATAAAAAATTGAATTGAAAAGTCGTTTTCTTTATTCAAAAGGTTTCTTGAAATTTTATTTACAATGCTATGAATTATATTTTTATTTATTCTTAAAGATTGAATTTGAGATTTCACGATGAAAGCAATATTTAACTGTTTCCTCCAATATTGTTTCGACTCTGAGAATGAGAATGATACCTTGAATAGAAAATGTATTTAACTATCTACCTATCATCGTGACTAAGTGACACATGTGACAGACGTACAGACAGATAAACAAACAGACATGAATATCATGGACTGAAAGCTATAAACAATCGACACATCACAAACATACACATCATCTTATATATATATATATATATCTATCTATCCTTCTATCTATCTATCTATCTATCTATCAATCTATCTATCTATCTATCTATCTATCTATCTATCTATCTATCTATCTGTCCATTTTTCTAATAATTTTCATCTACCAGGATGGGACTTCAACACTGTATATTTTTTCAGTTTTCTTTTTTAATTCTTTGTTCCTGAGCAACTGTGAACTTGTATTTTTATTTACGAATATATTTTGATATTTGTTTTATTCTAAAATCTAGTTCTTCAAACAAATGTATTAACTATTTTACATAAGATAAACTCACACCCTGATCTCTAATATTACTCCTCAACTCTATTTACTTGAAATGTTTTGTTAACATCATTGAAATTAGGTGAAAAATAATTTAAAACAGACAAAAGCTATTTTCCACCTAATTGTACTTGTACTTGTACTGTTAGAATAATAATCAATTTGTAATTGTAAACTCGTTCTGTACACTGATACATGTATTTTAGCAATAAACCTTACCTTATCTTATCTTACAAAATAATAATCAATTTGTAATTGTAAACTCGTTCTGTACACAGATACATGTATTTTAGCAATACACTTTACCTTATCTTCTATATATAAATTTGGCTTGTCTGTTTGTCTGTTTGTCTGTTAGGGTGTTTGTATCCAATAAACGTCAAAACGGCTGAACCGATCGGGCCCAAATTTTTTGTGGGACATCTAGGGACCCCAGGGAAGGTTTATGAATGATCAAAATTTCAAATATTTGTCTCCATCAAAATTCGATCTTCATTAAATTTTTGAAAATTTTGAAAATCCACGAAATTTTTTGTGAAAATCCGCGAATTATTTTTGTTTTGTTTTACGATGTACACAAAGAGAACATGTCCACAATTAATTTAGAAGATGGGCGCGAAGCGCCCTCTAAGGCTAGTATCTTACAAAATAATAATCAATTTGTAATTGTAAACTCGTTCTGTACACAGATACATGTATTTTAACAATAAACTTTTTTCTTAAAACTTAAAAAATCATTTTCATATTTATTGCAGTAGACCATATTCTATATTCAGATCTCTATATTTTTCAGAGTTGTAGATCGTCGATCAAATTTTTCCCTTTGTTGGAAACCTTTGTTTGTATTTGAAAATCAAAGGAATTGAGACTTTGCCACAAAATCTGGTTTTCTAATCCCTATATCTTTGCAACCCAATGTCAGACCTTAGAAGTTTTGATTTAACAGAACGCATGGTTATATCTAAGTTGGAATTATCAAAATTTACACTTCAGGTTGCAAATATTATAAGGATTAGAAAGTTAGAGTTTGTGGACACAATTCGTTTATCTTTTAATCTATGAATATGATATCTCTATCTGTTCGTCTATTTTATGTCTATTAATCTATTATCTATCTTTAAAATGGTATATAATCTGGTATCTATTGATTAGTCTATATATCCTGTTATCATCTATATATCTATCTATTTATCTTTCACACATCTATCTATTATCTATCTATCTTTCTTTTCTTTATCTCACTCTTATATCTTTTATATCTCTTACATTTCTACTATTCAATTGTACATTAAAATAAAGCAAAAACCAACAACCAGTAAAAAATGAGAAAATAACGAAAATTAAGGTAAAAATTTGATTTATTTGAATAAAACATGGTTTAACACGGTGAAGGACATGTGCTCTAAATAAACCTTCATACAGCACATAGGATGAATAAGTGAAGGGAATCTCTAANGGGGCATTTTATAACACAACATCTTTTTTGATTCTAGGATTACATAACCTTGGATTCTTATACATAAAATACGAATTCAACAAATTTAAATAAATTCTTAAATAATTTGGAATGTGAGGCGTTAAGTGTGAAAGGGGGGGGGTTAGTTTAACTGGATAGTTTATAAAATGGTTTTTATATAATACATTTAATAGATGGAGCACATACGGCTGTTACTGCTGCTGTCTAAAGGTTTAACAATCACAGATGTATGCACAGGAACAGTTTGCAGTTGGCAGCTGTCTCAGCTGTCTGCTGCAGTGTATACGTCCAACACTAAGATTCCCGCGGTTTTTTGACAAATCTTGAATCACGATGAAATCTCCGAGAAACAGTGTTGGGAAAACAATGATAAGCGGTAAAAATTCAAACTATTTCAAATTTATGTTTTTTGTCTTTATTCTCAGATTCCTCACTGGTGCAGGCTGGGGTAGGGAATTCACTATTTTTCTAAATTTTTCTGGATGAATTTTCTGCGACAGTTTTTAGCCCTTTTTTCTCGGTTTTTATATTTGTCCCAGGGGTAGGGACTCATCTTTGGAATCTTCAAGGGTGTACAGAGGAGGGGGTTGTTTCAGGTTTGGATTTAGGATGATTAGGGGTTCTTTTGAGAAGGTTTGGAACTCTCAGAGAAGTATCATGTACTGTACTGTAGCTACCTCCAGAACCCCTGTACCCCCTGAACCCCCCAGTAGGACCCCCTGTATCCAACCTCCTGCCACGGTACTGCCTCATTAGAATTCAGGAGCAGGATATTTGTAGGTATCCCATAGAGCAGAACCTCCCCCCCTTCTCCTCCCTTCTTCATACTAGGTAGAGCAAAGCAAGTAGACAGACCGCCACAGCGCCAACCTGCCGCCAAGCAGCAATGCTGGCGGCAACTCAGGCAATTCTGCGGCCTCGTCCCCCCGTATACTCCACCAGATTTCCAGGGACCATGGGACAGGGGTTTACCGTGAACCCTGAGCTGGACCAAGGGAAGGATGGGCCAAGGGACCAAGTTTAACCTGTAGGGTATGCAGAAGAAGATAGCCCCATATCTGCACCATGAGACATTAGAGCCCCGTAGTGCCCACTAGCATACATTTGCTGAGACAAAGAATTAATCCTAGACTGGGCGTTGGGGTCACCAGCGGCGGCTGCCGCGGCGTCTCCCGGCAGATACATAGAGATCATCTGGTTCAAATTCGGCTGTTGAGGTCCTCCTCCGGCTCCGCCCAGAGGTGATGGTAGGCTAGGTTCTCTCTTTACTGATAGAGGCGGACCTCCTGAACCTGCCGGAGGCGGGACAACATGGGATATACTGCCTGGGGACCCGGAGCCCATTGATATAGAAGTGGGCGGAGCACTGCCTCCTGTCTCGGATTTAACACTCCCTGGGGAGTGTGAAGGATGAGCCACACCTCCATCTCCACCCTGGCTTCCGCCGGGGGACATAGGACCCCCTTGCATACCATAGGGGGACCCTCCAGCCCCGTACATAGACATGTACGATCCATTCATGTACGAGGACATAGCTGAGGCTGTTGTGGAGGAAGGACTGTACATACCGCTCATATCGTATCTTGAATAGATAGAACTAGGTGACGACGACATATGGGATCCAGTGTACGGGGACTGGCTGTACATACTGCTGTCGTATCCGTGGTACCCGTTGGGCATGTACCCGTTCATTGATCCGTACATATCTCTTCCTAGGGAGGCGGAGCCGGGGCGGGTAGGATCGGAGGGCATCAAACCTCCGCCGAGAGGATATTTATCCTTCTTCATCAAAGTCTTCGTCTTCCGCCGGGGTCTGGAACAGAAATAGAAAATTGATCTCAGATCTGTGTGTTCAAAAGAGTGTACAGTTTATTTATAATAAAGGGACAGCTCCCAGTTTTTAGTGTGTGTTTCAAGTAAAATACTTGTGTGGTGAGAAAAGAATTGTTAATTTTTGTGAACTGTCCCTTGCACTGTCTTTCCAATATTGAATTAACCCCAACCTTATGCTATTAGTATTTTATGGTGTAAAAACCCAAATCTATAGGACGGAAAAATCAATATTTGTAAAGATAGTGCAAATACTAATAAATCAAATAAAATTTGCGAAGCCAGGAAGTTTTTTATCTATTATTTCCGTGCTGTGGTAAAATAAAGTGTTAAAACATTAATTTTTGTTTAATTATATAATCTGATTATATTCTTATAATTCAAGAACCCTGTCAAACTTGTTCAATTCAAGGCTAAATTCTGCAACAAGTATTCTAAAGATTGTATCTTTTTTGAATTCTTAAATTCTAAAAAGTGGTAAAAAACCTTTCCCTCCCTCCCTCACTCCCTCGCCCTGTCCAAAGCCCAACCCAGGTTTTTACGGCTTTAGTCAAGCCTTGTATATAAAACCAAACTAACTGGTTAAATAGCTACAGGACTAGATACCGTTTTTGAGCTATTTGTATTGGGGGGTTATAATAAATTTATATTTGTTATTAATGTATGATACATTTACCAAAATAATGAAAAAAATCGTTAGCTCTGCAATTTGGTATATTTTCTTTGATGAAAACAATATTTATTGACGACCCATCTAAATAAATTCCTTGGGTGTCCAATAAAGAGGATAATTTTTCATTGAAAATATCAGAATATGTTTCATCTTTGCAGGGAATAATAATCTGTTATTAAACATGAAAATTACATATTAGAATTTAATTAAGTTTTTTTTTCAAATATAAATACTTCTTTTTTCAGGGTGACTGCACATTCGATAAACACATTTAGATTCCGGGAAAAATATCAATTGCGTAAGAAGTTGCAATTGACAAGCATCCAAAAATAAATGTTATAAAAAACGTTTATGAAACCCATCTCCGACCCTAAAGGGACAGTCAGAAACCCAGATTCTCAGTAATGGAAAAAATGTAGGAGAAATAGGGAAAAGTAGCAGTAATGGAAAAAAAGTAGGAGAAATAAGAAAAAAGTAGCAGTAATGAAAAAAAGTAGGAGAAATAGGAAAAAGTAGCAATAATGAAAAAAAAGTAGGAGAAATAGGGAAAAGTAGCAGTAATGAAAAAAAAGTAGGAGAAAAAGGGAAAAGTAGCAGTAATGGAAAAAGCAGTGATTGAAAAATTATCCGTAATTGAAATTAGAAGTAGTAATCGAAAAAAGTAGCAGTAATCGAAAAAAGTAGCAGTAACAGAAAAAAGTAGCAGTAAGAGAAAAAAGTAGCAGGAACAGAAAAAAGTAGCAGGAATAGAAAAACTTGGTAGAAAAGGAAATAGGAGAAGTAAGAGAAATTAGTAGCAGTGACTAAAAATATCAGGAGTAACAGATTATTGAGAGGAGGTAACAGAAGATAAAAGTAGTAACACAAAAAGTAGTAATTTTAGCAGAAAATAGTAGAAAACAGTTATACAAAATAGAAGTAGTAGACAAAAATCCGTAACATTAAATGTAACAAAGAAATAGCAGAAATAGAAGTGAAGTAAAAAAGAAAAACAAAAGTTGATTTGTAGAAAAAATGAAGAATTGTAGCAGTGAGATTAAGCATTGAAGACGATGTAGAATAGTCAGAAGGTTAACAGAGTAAGTCCTTTTACTAGTAATATAAATTACCCTGATTTTATTTCTTAATTTGTGTCAACATATTTTAATCCTCAAAGTTATCTATTTAATCCTAAATTGAAAACTGAAATAAATCGGGTAGATTTAATCCCCCCCGATGTATAGAAAATATTTTGCGGATTTTCGCCACAAACATGCAACATTTTTACAACATTTATCAACCTCTGTCGCGCAGTTTAGTTTTAAACTCATCCAATTGAAATAAAATGTTGATCAGAAATAAATTTTGAATTTTTTGTCTCGTTTTTTTAAGATAATTTAAATGTCAAGCCAAACCATATTAGTTTCTATAAAGCACGACTGAGGCACGATTGAACCACTTTTCAACATCACGGAAATAATTGAAAAATAAACCCTGACGGAAAAATGAAAAAAAAAAAATATAATTTGTTAAAATAATTCTTGAAAAACAAAGATTTTTGGTGTAACCATGAGCTCTTTTTGAACCTACTTGATGTCCAGGGGGGAGGAGGGTAAACATTGATAATATGTTTACTCTATGTCGAGTTTAACTAAAATATAAATGAAGGCTATTACCGGAGAATAATGAGGTTTAATTAACACAGAACTCATGATTATAAACCTAATATCTTTAAACCTTGTCAAAACAAACAAACCATTAATCCAAAACACTTTGGTTTCTTTTCGCGCCATTTTACACGAATATAAGGAAATAAGGGAACAAAGTAATGAAATGCTAGAACAGGGTGTGTTTGGGTAAATTCAAATTTGAAAAGTGGTTTTATAAGATACACTACCGGTACTTGTAGTCAGGATGCTCCTTCATGTGCAGGGCGCGCAATCTCTTGGCCTCGTCAATGAAGGGTCTCTTCTCCGTCTCCGTCAGCAGCTTCCACTCCGCTCCTAATCTCTTGGAAATCTCAGAATTGTGCATTTTTGGGTTCTCTTGTGCCATTTTTCTCCGCTGGCCCCTCGACCAAACCATAAAAGCGTTCATGGGTCGTTTTACGCGGTTAGGGTCCTTGCTATCATCCATACCTTTGGATCCCATACCCTTGATATTATTATTATGAGGAGGGGTGGGACACTCGCCATCATCGGAGTCATTGGATAGGGTTGGAGAAGATTTAGGGAGTTGTGTGTGGGATTTATAAGGATCTGGTGGAGAATGTGAAGGATGATGAGAGTAAGGACTATAAGGAGAAGAGTAGAGGGATGAAGGAGTATGTCCTGCTAGAGAACCAAGGGAAGAAAGTGCTCCACCCATGGAGTGGGGCATTGTGTACCTATCATACGGATCCTTGCTCTTAATATCCGGCTCCATAGAGAGCATAGGGTGTCCATACCCTGAGTAATCCGGGTAATCATACTGATCCCGGATACTGGCAAGTTTTCTAGAATCATCTCGTTCTGCCGGATGAGAATAATACTGGAGGTCTGGGCCGGGGCCCCCCTCCTGAACACCACACACGGGAATCTTGGAACTGTTGAACTCAATGGTGAACAGGATACCGTGGTTGAACACCAACCTGGAGCAGACTTAGCTCCCGCCCTCAGCCATACTAAAGTACTAGGATACACGCTTTAATATCACTGGTACGATCAGCAACACCCGGAGCAAGGTTCGGAAATCTCAATCCGATATCGGAAATATGTTCTGCAAAAGTTTGTGTTTGTTGTTTGAAAACAGTTTTGAAGATGAGACTTCCCTTTAAAAAGTGTAATGTTTAGTTGAATATATCTATTGTGAACCGATTCACTGGAATTAACTCAATTGAAGGATGTATTCAACTCGACTGAAGACAAAGGACGGGACAAGACGGTTCGAGCTCCGCGGCTCCGCACCACTTTCATCCCGGCACCAACATTGATTGACGTTACCGGGAGAGAGCAGGTTTAAACCAATAGGAATCCACTCAGGGTGGGGCCTCTGTGTACTGTCCTGACTCTCGGATATTTCGGACCAAAAATTTCATTTTCCAACAGGTGACTGTTTGCCTTTTTATAATTTGTCAATCGGACGGATTCATGCAGGGAAATGTCTTGGGTCATCTCAGACAAGCAGGATAGGTTCAGGCATATCCGAGTTCATCAGTTTATCAGGATATCCATCCTTAACCTCAACCTTACTGAGCCTGGGTGGTTCTGCTCTTCAATCCGTTTCAATCGAACCTATACTCAATAAAATTTGTGATTTATTTTTGTATTTTTGTATTTATTTTTACATTTTTTTAATCTTTTCTTCTATTTTACAAGGACACATTTCTGAGATTAATAGATTTAATTTTTTTTATTATTTTTTCTCTAATCCAATATTTCATCCATTTTTCTTCTTCTTTTTTCTGTTAGAATACTTTAAACATTTTTTAGTTTTTCTCTTTTCCAGTATTTTTTTTCATTTTTATTTGTCTCTTCTCTACTCCATTGTTTGCTTTGGTTTCATTCCTATCATTCAGGGGAACTGAGTCTTTGCCACCAAATCAAATATTTGAATGTCTATATCTTTGCAACCTTTCAAACATTTCAAACTTAGATTATTTGATATAACATAATTTGTTATTTGAAATATCAAAAGTCCACGACAAACTCAAAATAAGTGGCAAAGGCTTAATTTTGTTGTGATTTTGGGTTTCATTTTCACTTTTTTTCGTCACATTTCTGTATATTTTCCGTATTTTCAGAATCATTTTTTTCCATTCGTTAAAAACCACTTCTTCTAGATTTAGAATTTTTTTTTTCTCCAGATAAACTGATTTTGTTTCTTATTTAAATAAAAAAAATATTAATGTGTGATGAGCTGGTTGTGTGAATGTGTGATGAGCTGGTTGTGTGAATGTGTGATGAGCTGGTTGTGTGAATGTATGATGAGCTGGATGTGTAAATGTGTGATGAATTGGTTGTGTGAATGTGTGATGAGCTGGTTGTGCGTATGTATGATGAGTTGGTTGTGTGAATGTGTGATGAGTTGGTTGTGTGAATGTGTGATGAGTTGGTTGTGTGAATGTATGGTGAGCTGGTTGTGTGAATGTGTGATGAGTTGGTTGTGTGAATGTATGATGAGTTGGTTGTGTTAATGTGTGATGAGCTGGTTATGTGAATGTGTGATGAGCTGGTTGTGTGTATGTATGATGAGTTGGTTGTGTGAATGTATGATGAGTTGGTTGTGTGAATGTGTGATGAGTTGGTTGTGTGAATGTGTGATGAGCTGGTTGTGTGAATGTATGATGAGTTGGTTGTGTGATGAGCTGGTTGTGTGAATGTATGATGAGTTGGTTGTGTGATGAGCTGGTTGTGTGAATGAGTGATGAATTGTGTGTGTGTTTGTGTGAGTTTGTGTGTTAGGATGCATATCCTGTTCTATTATATACGAGGGTGTAGGCGTGATAAACGCCCTAGAGTTTACAGTTTACACTGAATGCAAGGGGGCGCTTGCCAGGCCTTTAATGGGACTGTTAAAAAAAAGTAAGTGACCCTTTTAAAGCAAAGATATTCGTCTATTTATCTGAAAAAAAATCAGGCCCTTCACCAGCCATAGTTTTTTCTACAAAACTATTAATGAATTTCTACAGCAGATTTAAAATAACTAATATGGAAAACATAGATTGTGTAAATTGCTTATAATAAACTTTAATTGACGGATTCTGTAAGTTTGGGTGAACTATCCCTTTAAGCTTGGAGAGATTAATAAAAAAATTTTGATCTTCTCCCTCTTTACTCATCGACCTTTTGCTTAATTAAAACCCCTCCTACTAGAGTTTTCTAGTTTTTAGTCTTCCATTTCCTGTCATTCCATTCATATCCTTCCGTTTCCCTCCATTCCCTTCCATTCTCTTCCATTTCATTCCATTTCTTTCCATTCCCTACCATTCGCTTCCAGTCCCTTCCATTCGCTTCCATTCGCTTCCATTCGCTTCCATTCGCTTCCATTCGCTTCCATTCGCTTCCATTCGCTTCCATTCTCTTCCATTCACTTCCATTCGCTTCCATTCCCTTCCATTCCCTTCCATTTCATTCTATTCGCTTCAATTCGCTTCCATTCCCTTCCATTTCCTTCCATTCCCTTCCATTCCCTTCCATTCGCTTCCATTCTATTGCATTCTCAAAACTTCCCTGTATTCCCATTCATTCACTTGCATTCCCTTGCATTCCCTTCAATTTACTTTCATTTCCTTCCATTTCCTTCCATTTTTTTACATTTCCATTTCCTTCAATTTCCTTCCATTCCCTTCGATTTCCTTCCAAAACCTTCCACCTACTTTCGTTCCCTTTCCTTCCTTCAAATGCCTTCCGCTACTGTTTAGAATTCCTTTTCTTTATTTTTCTTTAACTCTCTAATATTTTAATATTATTTCTGTCCCCACTCTCTAGTTTAATTCTCTAATATTTTATTATTATTTCGTTCCTCGCTCTCTAGTTTAACACTCCAAAACAAATCTCACCAATATTTTTTTTGCTCATCCTACTTCTCAACAATCTTTCTCTTAGCCCCCCCCCCCCACCATCATCCTACCCCACAATCCTCCACTATCCCCTCTGACCTGTCCTCAGCTCTCTACCCCCCCCCCTTCATACTTCTAGTTTCTTACTCAGCATGAATACCCGGATAATCTTTAATATGAAAACCCAGCAATTTACTTCAACCTTGTAGCGTTCTCTCTTTTCCTCTTCCTTTAATCTTGTTCTCTCTCTTCTCCTGTTCCTTTAATCTTGTTCTCTCTCTTCTCTTCTTCCTTTAATCTTGTTCTCTCTCTTCTCCTCTTCCTTTAATCTTGTTCTCTCTTTCTCTTTTTCCTTTATCCTTGTTCTCTCTCTTCTCTTCTTCCTTAAACCTTGTTCTCTCTCTTCTTTTCTTCAATAAACCTTGTTCTCTCTCTTCTTTTCTTCATTAAACCTTGTTCTCTCTCTTCTCTTCTTCCTTAAACCTTGTTCTCTCTCTTCTTTTCTTCATTAAACCTTGTTTTCTCTCTTCTCCTCTTCCTTTAATCTTGTTCTCTCTCTTCTTCTCTTCATTAAACCTTGTTTTCTCTCTTCTCCTCTTCCTTAAACCTTTTTTCTCTCCTCTCTTCTTCCTTCCACCTTATTCTCTCTCTCTCTCTCTCTCTCTCTCTCTTTATTTAACCTTCTAATACCAGCAATGAAAAGGTTTTATTCGTATTACCTATTAGGGTTTAATAACATGGGTTTATTTGTAAACCCATAAAATCATTCAGATATCGATTTATCAGCAGAAGTTGCTTATGTTAAATGCTAGTTGATAGCATATATTAATTAACGTTGTGGGGGGGGGAGAATAATCATCTAGATCACGTCCCATATCCCTAAACTTTCATCTATTTTACTTATTTTCTTCATTTATATATCAAAATATTTATCTTCTCCGTGTCTAGCAATCTATCTACAGTGAGCCCCATAAAACTGTGGAATAGGAAGACGAAGTTTAATGTAGTCCCATAAAAAGTAGCTTAATTTGAATTTTTTTAATTGTTCATTTTGACCGTCACATTTTTTCTATTTTTCAATACCTTGTTATTCATCTACAGGGTGTCCCAAAAAACATGGGAATTCAGTGACGAATTCGATATCGTCTTTTCAAATTCTTTGATTTAGTATAGTGATACCTACTGAGAAAGCTGTAATCTGTAAGAGTTTCGTCTGCTATGTTTACATTTTGTTTGTTTATGTTTTGACTGCATACGGTTGTACTTAGTAAAACAAGAAAATTACAGTATACAAACAGAGTAAACTTGTCCGTATTCACTGTTCATCTTGCGGAGGTATTATAGACACATCTTTACAGTCTTTTACCCTTTTCATTAAATAAACTCTAGCAGACATAATAATATTATGGCTTTTGAAATTAGGTATTACAATGCTAATTCATAACAAAGACGATATCGAATTCGTCACTGAATTCCCATGTTTTTTGGGACACCCTGTATCTATCTGTTGGCATGGATTATGACAATGAATGAGTGTTGGCGGGAAATATGAATTAAATATTTCATCTTCTGATTCTGATGCTTGAATGCTAAATGATGAAGAAAGATTTGAAACTTTACTCTACAAAAAGGTCTGATTTATTCTTCTCTTCCTTCCTTGCCAAATTATTTGAAGAATTAGAACACGTTTCCTTTATTCTTCGTAATATAAACATTCATATTTAATTCTTCAAAGTTTCATTCTTCATTCTTGGCGATTTCTTCTCCGTCTTTTCTCCTTCATTCTTCATCCTTTCTCCTACATTCTTCATCCTTTCTCCTTCATTCTTCATCCTTTCTCCTTCGTTCTTCCTTTGTTTTCAACCCTACTTAGTTCATTTCGAATCATTCTTTCTAAATTTTGTACCATTCTTTTTAGATTCTGTATCCTTTTTTTTAATCATGTATCCTTCTTTCTTAATCCTGTATCCTTCTTCCTTAATCCTGTATCCTTCTTCCTTTCTTCCTTCATTTTGTATCCTTCTTTTTTAATCTTGTATCCTTCTTTCTTAATCTTAAATCTTCCTTCCTTAATTTAAACAATTTTCTTTAATTCCGCTTAATTCTTTCTTAAATTCTGTATTATTCTTCTTTAATTCTATAATCTTCCTAAAGTCTGTATTCTTCTTATTTTTCTTTCTTAATTTTGTAATCTCCTTCTTTAATTCTCTATCATTCTTCCTTAATTTTGCATCATTCATCTTAATTCTTTATCCTTCTTCCTTAATTCTGTATCATTCTTCTTTAATTATGTAATTTTCTTCCTGAATTTTGTATCTTTTTTTTTTAAATTTTATATCAATCTTCCTTAATTCTGTATCATTCTTATTTGATTCTGTATTCTTCTTTTTTAATTCTGTAA